CAATTAAAGGTTTGAGTTTTTAAAAATTATAAATTTTTAAAATTTCATTAATATAATTTTATTTTTTATTAAAACTTATTTTCACTAATATAGATTTCTAAATATATATTATAGATAATTTATCGATTATAAATTCTTAAAAATTGTAATAAGAAAAATATTCACATTAATTGTTTATCTATAATTTCTCATAAATAAAAATAGTTTTAATTATTCATGATAAAATAAGATATTTTAAAATAAAACATCCATATTATGCATAAGTTACTGACTATTTTAAAAAAATATTTTTAATAAATTTTTAAATAAATCAGTAAGTTTTTCTTGTACCAGTATTATTAAATTAAAATTTTAAAAAAATAATTAAATATGAATATATAATTATTTTAAAATTTAATAAAATTCATAATTAATAAAATTAATGTTTTAATTATTCATATAAAATATCCTATTGCATTAAATAACACTAAATTACAGAGATGAACATTTCACAACTTTAAAATAAATTGATTAAATTTTTAAAAAATAAATAAATGTTAAATAGAGGATAACTCATGACAGAGGAAACTAACTCCTAAAATAGATTCATTCAAAATCTATTATAAATTTATAAACACATTAAAATGATAAGATATATATATCATTAAAAAATAATAGGCTTAAATAAATTTTTAATTCCTATAAAATTTATTGCATTTGAAATTGGTCTATAAAAAGTTTTGTTATGATTTAATTGTTAACAAATTAAGCAAGTAAAATATTGTTAATTTTTGTCATTTATATATTACGTTGATTAACAAAATTCCAACTCAATTTTATATCATGTGTTGGGCACATGGTGGATAATATTTTAAAAGAATAACATAAACTTTTGGTCCTAATAAAAATTATTGTATTTGAAATTAGTCCCTAATTATTATTATTTAGTCTATAACAAATTTTAAATGAGTAAAAATCAATCTATATCATTAACCTATATTAGTTAAATATTGAGTTTAGCATTTTTCACATGTCAAGTGCTCATAGTTAACATACATTTGTTACAAGTGATACAAATAGTAATCCTTAATGACCATGTTGGTCAAACAAGATTAATTGGTATAAAAATTCATCATAAATATTTGCAAGTGAATTGTGAAAGAAAATTAGATAAAAACAAAGTGACAATGGTGAGCTGATGATTCAAATAATAGTATATTGAATAAGATAAAGGTGCGCTAACTAAGATAATAATATACATAGAGGGGGAGCAATCTGAATTATAGAATCAGTTCATTAGAAATCATTAAAGGTTTTTATATTTGTATATTTAAATATTATCTAAATAATTATTACATTTATCTTACTACAGTATTTTGAAACCTAATAACTTCTCTTATTCTTATACCTGTATGTATAGGCGTATACATATCCCATGTTGCAACATTGTTTCAAAGATTTTGATTTCAGTTTCTTGTTTGAAAATTTTTTATTCTGTAATCATCCTTTATTAATTATATCATCAAAATCATTTTGTTTAAAACTGGTAATCATTATACTATTTATAACGAAATTATATATTTAAAGAACTTTATTATATATATCCTCTTACAAATCTTCTTAATAAATCTCTTGCTATTTTACTTTATATCGATCAAGTACTCAGTGTGATGGTTTGCATGAAAATGCATTTCAATTGAATCACATGCAATAGATTAAGAAAAGTTGCTACAAGCAGTTAAAGAATTAATGATAGTATTTATTAGTGAAAATGCATTAGGCCATGCTGCGTTGCAACACAGCTATTTTCTATGACGAGCAAGGACACTTCTCCAATTATTACTGGCACGACCCAGAACCATAATTGAACGTGAACCATTCGTCTTTGTGAACCCCACATTCAATTACCCGATCGCTGTTATCTGCTTAATAATTATCAGATATTCATGGCTCCCAATTGGTACAGTTTCACGTGCAAATTGGGCCACTACCACTATAATGGAGCCAAACTCGAATAGTTGCTTATTCTTCTTGACTTGTTTTGCTTCCCAATATCGCTTTCAGAATTTCCGTTATTTAAGTACGTCAAATAGTTTAGGCGTAGCTGCCTAATGCCTAATCAAGCCAAAGCATAGAAAATGTTGGCTCCAATGGTGGCTATGCTATGATCCATGGGGCCTTCCTACCGTAACATATCCCTTCTTTGAGAGAACATTAGGTTTTGGACGCATAAACATTTATGATTAAGGGCAATGATGTTGGTTTCTAATTTTGTCCTTCTGGTAGACGCATGGTTGCTATTATTGATTAAGCCTAAAAGGGCTATTGAGGGGACTTACGATTATATACTATTAGAAATTAGAAAAACGTGAATCATCGTCTACTCCAGGGTTACATTCAGAAGCTGTGTTTTAATTTCAGTCAAAGTTAAAATTCGTTTGGTATAAGAAAATGATTTTTAATTTCTATTAAATAATAATTATAGAGTTTTGTTAACTTGAGTCTTTAGAATTGAGTTTAAATATTTATAAATAGAAAATTTTTTATGAAAAAAGTATATAATTATTGTATGAAAGTTATAAAAATTCAGATCCGATCTTTGTTATGTACCTGAATATGGTAGGTAAATCTATAACTTGAGATTTTTTGTGTATAAAAAAATTTGAACTGCTTATCACTCGAACCAACCTCTATTGATCATTAAATTTATTTTCGTTAGTATAATCTTTAATTTGCAGAAATTAAATTATTAATATTAATATTATAAGTTTATTTTAACATTATATATGATGCATTGTACTAAAGATATAGTTATAGATGGTATATATCATATGCTAACAGAAGTTTGCATAATGCATCATATTATTATCATGAATTCCTCGTGTTTATATTAAAAATTTAACTATTGTTATTTTTATATTATTTTCTTATACAAACTTTTAAAGTAAAAAGTGGCATAAAAACATGGTAACGCATGTTTAAAATTATATATATATATAAAAAACAAAAAATATTTTCTTAGAAGAGGAGATTGGACTCTAATTTTTGAGAAAAACTTGCGAGAAATAAGTAACTATAAAATTACATCATCAGGCAGGCTTACCTAGGTGTTTGGGTTGATGGGATAGAATGAAGTAAAATAAATTGATCCCAAGCCAACATCTCAACCATTATTTTCTATTTTGCTTCAGCTTGTGCTTAGAACCTGCTGTCCAATCTCCCTTGTCATCTCTTATAAACTACTAATGAGAGAAAGTAATATACTCCTATTCCACCAACACCACCAAAAAGTTAGAAGTAAAGAACCCTCCTTAGATCAAGCAACAAAAGCAGTCTACCTTGAATATTAATTGACAAAAAAGAGACTGAAGAAATAAACTCCATGTGATTCCAAATGTGAAAAGACATATGATAGTGTTGAAAACAATGGAGCTGAACTTCAACAATTAACATCTAAGACAAATTTAAGTTCACAAGTCCTCTCTCATTCAGAAATTTCATACTAGGCACAACATCATGTAACACTTGCCACATGAAAAATCTAACCTTATCAAAGATTAACTTAACACCCTTAACACCAAGAAGAATGCACATGCAAAGTGACTAACTTAAGATCCAATTATAAGTAATGGGAGGCGATAGGGAATCCTTGGGACTCCCTAACTAGAACCAACCAATCTAGAAGTTTTGAAGATGATAATAGACATATTAGAAAAAGCTTTCGCACAATAGTAGAGAAAGAAGTACAAAGTTTAGAAAAGCTCCACGATACGCCGTTCCACAAGTCTTTAACCCATAAATTAGAATCATTAATGTAAATATAATATACTTTAGAAAATAAAATACCCTTATATGTCGAATCATCAAACCAAAACCTAAGCCAAACCAAATGGAAACCATTAATTAGCACCGTTGGGATCTTGAATATACTAATTTTAACTACAAGTGCATCTTAAATAAATTCTAATTTTAACTAGCATTTTAACTAAAGTTTTTTTTAGATTTAATTGTACTTTTAATTTTTATACTTCAATTATGTCAATCGTACAAAAGAGCACACTTACTGCTGGACGTAGAGTAGAATTAAGAAAGCAGTAATTGTGGTATAAAGAAAGAGAAAGAAAAAGTTACGTGGCAAGTCCTCCATCATTGGCGGAGGATAGGGTGGGGGTTTCCGTAATTCCAAAATTTAAAGAGTACCATTCTCAAGACGAATAATGTTTGGTGTGGATGTTTTCAAAGATATAGAAATAAAAGAAAGATAATAAATATAATCAATTATGTCATATGATAAAAAAATATTTATAATATATTTTTTATAAAAATTATGTAAATTTTATTTGTATTATTATAATTTTTAGTAATTTTAATTAATAATTAAGAGAATGTTAAAAATTATTAAATAATGTAAATAAGTATTAATATTTTTCATTTTTTAATTAAAAAATATGTTAAAATGTTTTTAATATTATTAGAAGAGTTATTCTATATTGTTTTACGCATTTTCCTAATATCTTACTACTTTATAAAGTGAGTGTGAAATAAAAAAAAATGTAGACATTTAAATTCTTAAAAATATAAAAAATTGACATTTTTATTTAATAATTAGAAGAATTTATAAGCAGAAAAACTAGAAAGTTTAAAAATAATTCTAAATTCTTCTTTTTTATACTTAAAATTTTTTAATTATTAAATATTCTATATAATTTTAAATAATCAATATATGTATATAATAATTATTGTATAAAAAATTGTCAATAAACTTCAGTTTTTAAAGTTAAATGTAATTAAACATTTAAAAATATATTTATTGTATTAAAATGATAAAAATATTTTTAATAAAAATATTTTTAATATTTTTATTATTGGTTCCTTATATTATAAACATTAAAATTAATATTTTTATAATAAAATATTGAAATATAGGTTGGAGGATATGATAAAGCTGAAAATAAAAAATGCTGTAGAAGACGGAAACACAGAAAAAGTTAAAAAACAGGTATAATTCCACCGCAAATACTGCTGCGATGCTAAGTCCCTTAATTTATTTATTTATTCTACAAAGCAATCTCCCAATTCCCACAACACTGAACTTCACCACTCACAACTGCACACTCACTCTCATCTCTCTCTTTACAATCAGATCTACGCAAAATGCAAACCCAACTCACACTCTCCACTCTCTTCCTTTCACTCTTATTAACATCTCAAACATTTTTCACTCTCGCAGCGCAGAGCAAACCACAGGATCTGGTCCAGTCATCGTGCGTCCACGCCAGGTACCCAAGCCTGTGTCTTCGAACCCTCTCCAACTACCCTGGGCCCGCCAACACCCCGCTGGACCTGGCCCGGGCCTCCCTCAGGGTGAGCCTCGCCCACGCTCGCCGGGCCTCCAAGTACTTAAAGGCATTGTCCAGAGGCGGCACCACCACATTGGGTAAACGGCAGCGAACGGCGTTACGCGACTGCACGGAACAGATTTCGGACTCCGTTGAACAGCTACGGAAGAGCCTCGACGAGTTGCAACATCTACGGTCGGAGACGTTCCGGTGGCAGATGAGCAACGCCCAGACGTGGGTCAGCGCCGCCCTCACCGACGGCGACACGTGTCTCGACGGCTTCGACGGGAATGTCAGGCCCGACCTGAAACGCCGGGTCACGGATGTTGCCAGAGTAACTAGCAATGCTTTGTATATGATTAATAGACTCGATAAAGGTGGGCCCAAGCCCGAGCCCAAGCCTGACTCTGCCTCGAGCATCAAGAACTGAATCGTGCGTATGAGAATGAAGAAAGTTGAATTAACGCAGTTGGTAAATTACAGTACGTGAAACTGTTAAGTCATGCTAATTTAGCTATTGACCACTGTACGCTTTCTGTTGTTACAAGGCTGTGACCCTTTTGTTTTGGTGTTTCTGCTCTGTATATACGTGAAAATAAAGTGCATTGCATAGGAAGGAATATAAGGAAATGGAATGTGAGTTATGATCATTGAAAATCTGTGTGGGATAGTTTAGTGTCTATATTTAGTCGTATCCTTTATTTCCTATCTTCGTGTGTATCCACTGAAATGAAAAAAAATATTATTGAAAAAAAATAGTATTCGTTAGGTTTATTTCTGTTAATATAAATTACCATTAAAATTAAATTATTCATATTTGCATCATGAGTTTATATTAACAGTGTGATATGTATTAATAATACACATTATTAAAAAGTCTGTCAACAGAAACAAATGAAAGAATTAATGTTTTCAATAAATGCATAATTTTTCTTTTCCCGTAAGGAATGCATATGTATTAATTATTGTTCCGAGTTAGGAGTGATGGTGTGGTCCAGGAATGGGCGTAGTGAATAAGAGATGGGCCACGTGTCCGATTATAACTATACGTACATATCCCATTCCCTCATCACTCCTCACTATGCCCATCACATTTGCTACCTAATAATAGTGCGTTTATTTCAGCATGAATAATTGTGCTTGTTTGAAAAAATTTAAATGATTTTACTGTATGATAGTTCCACAAAATTAGAAATAAAGCACAGCATGAAGAAAATAAAATATTAATATAAATGATGAGTTACCTCGTAAATTTAAATATATTTATTGAGAAAAAACTGAAAATATTATAAATCAGTGGGAAAATATTTTTGCATGGATGTATCATCTGGAATTTGCAGTTATCACCCAGGTCAATCGGTTATGATTGAATATACTTTATCAAAAATGAAGTAACACTTTTAAAGAGAAGTTTGGATTGTGGTTACCAGCTATGAAATTAAACATCAAGTCAAATTTCTTAACCAAAACTGCTCCAAATGGTTAGTAATAAAGCACTCGTGTGTATGAATGCATACACAACATGTTGTAGTAAAAGTGGAGGAAAATTAAACAATTGTGATCTACACGTCCTCTTACCTGTCACCCATTTCTATGAAATATTATGAGCCATATCTTAAATTTTTCCTTCACCATTCCGCTCTTGATCATCAACTTATATGGGCCATCTATTAACCAAAAAAAGTTTCCCAAATACATTTTCAATCTCACTCCCATTATTTCTACTAAGCATTAAGACATTTGCAATGAGCATATGTTGAAACAACAACACAATCTAATCACCGTCTTTGTGGCAAACATGGCAACACTACAGTAGGAAGTTCAAGTAATCAGGAATGCTGTAAATTGCAATCTCTGATAAAACAATACCTGAGTATAGCCATCTATCAGTAAAAAACTTGACTAGTTTCCCATTACCAGGAACCCATCAGCCGGTACACTCCAAGACATTCGGAAATTTAAATTAAAAATAACACTAAAATTTAAAACATGGTTAACAAATTGAAATTGAAAACTCAACATATCAAGACACATTTCAATTTACAACTTATAAATATTTATTTAATATATTCATAGTACTCTCTACCGTAACCTTCGTTTTTCCAAGTACATTTTCTTGGGCTGGGATTTTTTCCACAGTGAATTCACTACTCAATTGGGCCTCTGTATTGGTGGAGGTGGGGCATAGCAAGTCCAAATAATTTGGGCTTGAACATTGGGCTGCTGTGTCTGAAATAAACCGACCCATGTGGTTCCAACAGATCTGACACATCTTTTCAGAGCTCCTTAATTGCAACAGCACCTACCCACCAAACCACTGAAACAAAGGATAGTGGGAAAAAATGGGGATTTGCCTCGCCCTCCTTATTTCACTTACGGTCACGGCAAGGCCAGGTAATGAGTTACTATTAGGTAATGAAGTCTGCTTGTGCTGTTTTTCTCCCACGCGCTTAACATGCGATTTAGTTAGTAGTAGCGTGATTTTGAGGTCGTTGTGATGAAAGTCAAGTCCATGGCACCGCAATTTGTTCTCCTTCTGCTACCTTTGCTTGCTGTTGCTGTTAAAGCACTCGCTTCCAATGCGGTGAGTGTTCTTTTCTTTTTTAATTTCTAAAATTTAATTTTTTTTCGCTGCGAACCAATTTGTGGAAGCTTTGTTATGCTTGTAGACACTTAACGAGACTTGTGGTTACCTCGATGCTTCTCTCAATAGAGACACTAATGGTACGATTTCTTAGATTCACTGCACAATTGCTGTTTGGAAGATATTTCATTCGTTGAAAATTCTGTCTCTCTGATGTGTTAATATTCATCGTCGGTATTATTATTGTACTTCATTGATGCTTGAGGTTTTGCATAATGATCATGAAAAACTATTTAATAATACCTTTAACTTTGGAGGAATATATAACTGTGCTCGCTAATTTATCTCTTTCACTATTGATACTTTTTCTCTTCTTCTATCTAGTGGAGATAGACAGATGAAATAGGAAATAAAAATGTTTTCTTGATTTGATAAAGTGATAAACGGTTTGGAACAAACTAAGAACCTGTTTGGTTACCCTTTACAATTGATTTTGCACATTTTTTCTAGGTTGAAAACTACGATGGAACAAAAGATTACTGAAAGGAGATAATTTTTTATTTCATGGTAACGTAGTTTGCTGAAACTTGCAAACAAGCTCGAAACTTAAGGGACATTTATTTTGAAATAGAGGGAGTATTTCTATTGTTTTGAATGGAAGAGAGTATTCATTATGGGATAAGATCCATCTAATCTATGTTGAAAAGACATTAGTGCTTTATTTTTGTTTCGAGTCCTAATTATATAGCTATTCTACGTTATGTTATGGGTTAGTAGTAAATGTGTAAAGGAAAAAGTATACTGATGAAGATTATTATTTTTTTCTTTGATTGGGCTGAGAAAAAAATATAGGATTTCTAACTAGCTTTTTATCCTAGAACAGTTAGATGGAAAAAGTGAGTAGAGACAGTTTGTTGATGGGTTTTACTTATTTTCTAGGTTTAGGGTTTTAATGCTAGGTAATTATAATAAAGTTAAATTTGATTGAATTATACTATAATGCAAGCTGATTAAGTGCTTTAATGCAAGCTAATCAGTCCTTTGACTGTTTTAATGCAATCTAATGAAGTTAAATGCAGTTACATTTTACTGTGATTGGGACTATTTAAAAGCTTTGTTAGTCCTTATGTAATTACCTTAAATGATAGTTGATCGATATTTTGAACAGAGGATTAGTATTAATAGAAATGTGAATGAAGATAAAAAATTGATCTGCATCTGAGATAATACATGAGTAATTTATGTAGTTGCTGGCTAGTTGGTTTAAACAAATAAATGTACACACGGCCACAATCTTGGCCCACACATGGTTACTAACTGAATAACAGGTGATGTAAATAACCTGTTATCAACATCCAAGTAAAACCTACAAGCTAGCTACTCCCACCGGTTCATTTTATTAGAAACTTTGAACTAAATCACGCAGATTAAGAAGAGTCATTGAAAATAGTTGTTGATTTTTCAACAAGTAATTTCAACATTCCAAGTTTACACCTAGTTGAAGTCAAACTCTATTGTCATATTCTATGTTAAGAAGCTATAAAGTTTATTACGAAGGGTAAATCTGTGAACAAAATAATAAATGCTGCTAAAACTTTGTAAAGGGTCTTATATTAAGGATCAACAAAATTCTATAAAAGGTTCTTATAAAAAAGATTGTAGGGACCAATACACAATTTAATGACTAGAGGAGTAACTAGTTATAACTAATTGGCATGTTCCTCCTTCTGAGTGAATTTGCATTTTGATGCATTCCCATGCTCACATCCAATTATCCAAATGAATGGTCTAAGAACTACCATGTCATAATACGTAATGCTCTTAAATTTTTATGATAACACGTATTCTTTCTAAATCTTAGCACACTGCATTTGATGGTGCTTGAAGTTACTTTTGATAATAATTTCTATACCATGTCAGGATAGACTTTGAATACCTATGGTTTAGTATCCAATTATTACATTCTTTGTTCTCCTTGAGCAGCACTATGCCCAAGTGGTTGGGTTATTGACCTTAACAAGACCAAGTGCTTTCTCCATGTTGGGAGGCCTCAATCTTGGAATGACTCAGAGACCTGTTGTAGTAAGTATGGTGGACATTTAGTGTCATTGACATTGCTTCAAGAGCTACAGTTTGCTCAGAGTTTATGTGGCAAATCTATAAACAGTTGCTGGATTGGTGGAAGGAGACTCAAATCTACAGCTGGTTATCAGTGGTTGTGGTCTGACAATTCACAGTGGAATAAGTCCATATTTCCTTTGGATGATTTTCCACCAAATTGTACTGGAACTGCACTATCCTGTCATAGGAACAACACAGACAATCTATGTACTGTAATGACTAATAATTCAAAATCTCTCATGAGTGAGAGATGCGACAATCCTCATGCTTCTCTATGTGTGCTTGATATTGGTATGTACTAGTTATTTTAGAAATATGTTGCTTATGTTATTTTCTTCCTCCTTTTCTTTTTGTTTCCCTGTCTTGATTAAATTTTTTAATAGTCATTTCTGACTAAACTTTTTCCCTTTTTTTTCCGTCTCAGCTACAAAATGTAACTATATGCACTGTCACAGAGAATACCTTATCATCCTTGCAGTGGTGAGTGCATTGATACTCTCCACAACATTAGCTGTGGTAGTTTGGCTTCTTATATTTAAGCGGGGCAAGAAAAGAAGGCGGTCAAGAAAACTATCTAATCCAGGAGCTTCTCTTCCATCATGGAAAGTTTTTAGCAAAGAGGAACTAAGGTCTGTTACAAAGAATTTCAGTGAAGGTAACCGTCTTGTTGGGGATACAAAGACTGGTGGTACATACAGTGGGGTTTTATCAGATGGCTCAAGGGTCGCAGTTAAGAGATTAAAGAGGTCAAGCTTTCAGAGGAAAAAAGAGTTCTATTCTGAAATTGGCAGGGTTGCAAGGCTTCGTCATCCAAATCTGGTGGCTGTGATGGGATGCTGCTATGATCACGGTGACCGCTACATTGTTTACGAATTTGTAGCTAATGGGCCTTTAGATAAGTGGCTACATCACATACCAAGGGGAGGTCGCAGTTTAGATTGGGCTATGAGGATGAAAATTGCAACAACACTTGCTCAAGGAATTGCGTATGTTCAAAATATACATTCTCTTTGATAACTTTCTGTATGTTAATCTTGAATTTTTTGCTCTTGTTAAGACGCATACTTTTACTTTATTAATAAAAAATTTCTGATGATACTAATTGTGTGCATGCATTTTTCATTGCTGTAACTGTGGGCACTTAGGTCATTCTCCCTTGATCTTTTCATGCATTCTTCATAATTTATACTGCATTGCCACTTTGAATTATTTGTAAGATTGCAAATTTCATATGGGAACATTTAATTTAATACACAGGTAGCATTTGACACAGATAGAACAGAATAAAATGATGTGTTGCATTCCATTCTCTTTGATTCCACCCTTTTAAATAGAACTGAAGTTTTTTTCCGCTCCATGTCCTGTTCAGTTCTATTTTTAAAACATACTAGACATAGCATAGAACTCATATGTCGTTATAGCTCATGTACCAAACTCTACCTTAGTCATACTTTCAAACTGTTCTTTTTGGTGTATCTTGTATGTAGAGTATCCATGTCACTGGTCTGATTGATTATCAAATCCAATAAAGAACTATAATGTTTTGTATTTCCCTGATACTAAAATGCAGCTATCAATCCAGCCATCCTATTCTTGAATATTACTTTTACATCAAAGCAATGATCTTCATTCTGACTTTTGATTTGGAAGATGACTATCTCCATTTAACCAAGTAGATGTTGTGATGGAATAGTAAAGTTTGAATTACTTCAAATATGATCCATTGTTGTCCTTGGTCCAAAACCCCGTAGACTTTCAGAGTATGTATTTGGACTGGATCAGGATCTCTTAATGTTATTTCTGACATGAGAGGATGATATTGAGAGAGAGAGAGAGTTAATTATCACGGGAGCCCCAGAGTCCATTGGTCTTGTATTTATGTCTTTCTTTCTTATATTATTTCCTCATTTGTATCCACTTTTTAGATAAGTTGCTTTTAATTGAGATGAGGTTTCAGTTTTCAATTTTTGTGGTATATGCTACCTACTTTTTCCAGCACCAGCATTGAATTAGGATTTTTATTCTGGATAAAAATGTTTTTAACTTGTCTTCTTCTCATGTTTAATTATTATTTAATAGATAAAAACACTGCATGTTGAAACTTTTAAGATCATTTATGAAAGATGTCTTGTTTAGCGTCAATCTTCTAAGAGTGGGAGAGTTTTTTCTGAATGGTTTTACAAAGTGTGTTTACTTCTTTGTTTGTTTCCCATTTGTCCTCTGCAATAGATTGTCAGATGTTTTGTTTTCCTACGATAACCCAAGTTCTATCAACTTATGAACTTGTTTGTTTTCCTTTTTGGATATGATGCTACCTTCGTTTTGTAAACTCTAGCTTTTGCTTTCTAGGATATCATGGAAAACAATGGCTTTTTAGTATCTAAACATGCATTATTAGTTAGCCTAGTTAATATATATAAAGGGTAATTTTTGGAGAAAGCCATCATCTACCTATCCTAGAAAAAGTGGACGGAAGAGAGAACAAAATGAATTGCAACCCAATGTCCAGGGGAACTGTATACATGTTTGTTGATTTTCTCTAAATAGTGATTATAATTTTTCATTCCCTCAAACCAAAATATTTTCCCTTGAGTTTGCTACAATTTTTAGTCCACAACATTTAAAACTTGAATGGATATATATTAGTTTTAAAGTACTTTTTTTCTTTTGATCCATTTCATCAGGTTTCTGCATGACAAGGTTAAACCACAAGTTGTGCATCGAGATATACGTGCTAGCAATGTATTGCTGGATGAGGAGTTTGGAGCGCACCTTATGGGTGTTGGTCTGTCCAAGTTTGTGCCATATGAAGTAATGCATGAGAGGACAGTGATGGCAGGTGGAACTTATGGATATCTTGCTCCAGAGTTTGTGTATAGAAACGAGCTTACAACAAAGAGTGATGTTTATAGTTTTGGTGTCCTACTACTTGAAATAGTTAGCGGACGTAGACCTGCACAGGCAGTTGATTCTGTGGGTTGGCAGAGTATATTTGAATGGGCAACGCCACTTGTGCAAGCTCATCGCTATCCTGAGCTCTTGGATCCTCATATAACATCATCCTCTTCTAGTATCATCCCAGAGGCTAGTACCATCCAAAAGGTGGTTGACCTTGTTTATTCTTGCACGCAGCATGTCCCTTCTATGCGCCCTAGAATGTCTCATGTGGTTCACCAGTTGCAACAGTTTGCCCAGCCACCTGCCAAGTAAGCTAATCTAGTAGTCTTGACCTCAAACTTCTGTATCTATAACAAAGTGGAGGAAATTTTTTCTTTTGCATATACCAAATATATGTAATTTAACCTGCCCTTCATTAGGGTCGAAATTAGCCTTTCTAGATCAAGTGGGTGCTAGAGTTAGACTAGGTAAATTCTGCGAGATATTATTTGAAGTCTTACATGTAGGTGTAACTGTACTACTTCTGCAATGTACACCTTTTTGTCATTTTTAGCGAAAATATATACTGCAAAAAAAGAAACAAAGCAACATTTCTTCTTGAGTGCATTTCAAAAAATAATTAAGTGTTTATTTACTATTTTTTTTTTATTACAAAAGAGTTTGTTATAAATTTGATTGTTACTCGTGAAATAACATTAACAAAAAATTGATTTCAATGTTTTATTGAGAAATTTATGAAATTAAGTTTTTAAAGAGCTTGTTGGAATCATAAGTCCAAATAGGTTCTTTAGTTCTTTCGAGTTTCAGGGGTACCCGGTATCTGCAACGGAAGCAGTTTTGGGCTGAACTGATATTAGTAAAAGCAATCTGGTCGTTTTTCTTTTTGGTCAACCGATTGCGATATCCTTGCTTAAGGTTGATAACAACCATGGAAATCATAAGTGTGTTTAGCATGGTGACGGTGTTTCTAGTTTTTTAAAATGGTCAAATTATAATGAGTTTTTTCAACAAATAAGAATCAAAATCTGATGCAAAATTTTTTAAGTGAAAGGAAAAGAATCAAATTTCTAAAACTCATTTTTCTTGTGCTGCCCCATCTCTCACCCCCTTCTAAAACTTTGGAAAATTGTTTTCAGAAAAACAAAATACAAAAATGTAATAAAAAACATCCTAACTCTCAGCATCTTTAGTTCTTAAAAAACTAAAAAAATTAAAAGCAAAAAGGCAATCAAGTTGTATTCTATATGTATGGTTATCAGCAACCCAAGAACGGACAACAGGGACTAAGTGTCATTATAAACTTGGCACCATTCCTCTCTCACTCAGACCTTTTAATAACACTCAGCCAGCTCCCGAACTCAGTGCCTTCCCATGAATACGGATTTCCTGCAGTTTTGGTGCCAACTGTATGGTCCTCTCACTCGGCCCCTTTTTCCTTTTTACCCACCCTTCTCCTTCCCGTTCTGTCACTCCTCCCCCTCTCCCTCTCCTTCCAACCCAGCCATCTTCTTTCTCTTCCCACTCAATCTCCTTCTCCCTTCTCTCCCTCTGCCCCACCCCACCCAACCAACAAACCCTGCACTCTCTCTCCTTGACACTCTATTTCGTCTATCTTTCAGTGAAATTTTTAATTTTGCTTAAGCGAATTTTAAGGTTTAAGTGAAAAATCACTTTTTTGTTTATTTTGCTTAAGCAGTTGGCACCAAAACTGTAAAGAATCTGGATTCTCCCATGATAGATTCCAAGTAACAAAAGTAAGTATGTGAATCTCATTGATAATTCAAGAACTCTTTTCTTTTACTTCCATCAATTTTATTTTTATTCGTAACGTAGATGATTTTATTTGGATTAACATAAAATTTTAGCAAAATATGCTAATTACATTAACACTATTAATGGGACGAGGATACAAAGCTAAAAAATCACAAAATAAAATAAGTAAAATAACAATAACACAAGATTCCGACAAATAGTGTTTTCTTTTTTTCAATATGTAATAAAGATAATCATTAACTTAAAAAAATTAAAGTATCTAATTTAATATTTTATTTACTTTAAAATTTAATTTATTTAATATAATATTCTATTCTATTCAATTAATTAAGTTTTTTTAAAATATAAATTATATTACTTAAATAAATTAAGTCTAATTAAACTTTAAAAAAACTAACTCATAAAAGCTAAATCATGAATCCTATTAGTCGGTCTAACTTATTTCCTTTTCTAATCCTAATATTATTATACTGTTCATTCAGGTGATAAAAGATAAATAAAAAGATTAAGTGTCAATGTACTGTACTAAAAAAGTTTTTTCTTCAATAGAACTCTAGGGAAACAACCAGAAGTAACTATACCAAAGAGATTCCCATCCTCTGTATTACACGAGAAAAAATTAAAATAAAAAGGATTAAAGCAAAATGAATCAATACTTCGTATACATTAAAAATATGAAGATGATTCATGGCTAGATAGTTCAAACAGCATGACAATCAAGGTATACAACTTTTTCTATACAAACAGAAATGTAAGGCGTACATGAACGCAGCGGGATACTAACTTAAACGAATAGCTAGCAATATTGCTGAACGTGTCAACATGCACTTTTAGGGACTGCTAGCAGTAATATTTGTTGGACTTGGATCAGAGTTGCCATAGAAGATATTGATTGTTATTACCATTACACACCCTGCATCATGTGTCCAAACCCAAGATTAGCATACTTTCATAAATCATATGAAAATGCAGGAACGGGCAGATTTAGAAATTGATTTTGATGTAAATCCAGTCATCAACTTTCTTCTATCTACACGAGTCTCTGTAAGATTGACTTATACATGAATGTAAACAAGCCCTTGAATGTAAAACCAAATGTTTACATGCATCCAAGGGAATCACATAACAAGAACATGAAAGATGCAATAAAAGAGAACCAATTTTGTAATGGTGGTGTCAACAAACCAATTCATTTGGGTAGATATCAAATACTTGCGTATAATGCATAAGCTAAAGCACAATTTCACTGAATAAAAAAACACATGTACGGTAATGCTTAATAAAAAAGCAACTTAAAATACTGCAGAAAAGGTTATAGGAATTCTATTTTCACATAAAATTGACTAACCTCAATCTATGGATTCTGTTGTTTGAGATTGTTGCTCCTCAAATAAAGTCTGTATTCTCTGCAGTGAAAAATATGCACACGTTCTTAGCCCAAAGAATAATATTAACTCCAGAAATATACATCTAAATCCTTTTTCATTTTTCCTCTCTACTTTTATTTCATTTCTATCTTAGGGCACTTTAAACTTTCCATTTCTTCTCATCCTGAAGTTAAAGCCATTAATCATTGACAAATAACAATGCTATATCTCCTGTTTACTTTCTACCTTGACAGAGCTTCCAACTTCCTCTAGTTTCTGCAGTAGTAGCAACTCTCCGGATGGAGTAGAATCATGTTTTAATGACTTTGACTGCGACATCTAGAAGCGAATAAAAACAGTAATGGGTGAGGGAGAGATCAAGACTATAAGTAACCAACATGAACAAATGACAGTTATAAGCACTATAAAGGTTTACCAAGGTAATGACTTCAATTATTGGTCACCTAGAAGCAAGAAAGACAGAGAAAAAACAGGAACAAAATTTAAAAGATTTATTCCCAGCACATAGGACTCATGAATGACCTACCATCAGATGTGGAACATCTTCTAGCGTAGAAACTTGCTTTGACAAAATCTCATTTCTCATGTTTGATAGACGCATCATTACAGCCTGAAAAGAATGGAAGCAATGCAAAGAGCAGTTCCACACAACCAAAGTTGTCAACTTGACGTGAAAGAAGAAAATAAGGAAAGGGAAATTTCTTATTGATGGTTTTGTTTTTGAATGTGTGTGTGTGTGAGAAAGAGAGAGAGAGAGAGAGAGAGAGAAAGAAAGACGGGCAGAGGGTGGTCAGACACGGTTACCTTCCTGAAAGCATTTGGGTTTGCAACACCCTGGATTTTAACATCATCACTGGGTGGCCTTCTAACTCCAACATTTTCAATTCTAAGAGAATAGACACCAAATAGTGATTGCAAGTATCCTATGAATAGATATAATGAATCAGGTACTAGAACTGAAAACCATAGGACCATGAAAACAATTATAACAAGAAATAAAACCTAAAAGAAAATGGATAGTATGAATTCAATGGTGTATAATGAAACAGAATAGGGTGAAACTAAATGGAATAACGTTACTACTTCATTGTTGGGATATTTTTAGGACAGGAAAAATGTACTTTACCCCCTTAATATTTGGGTCATGTTTTAATCAGTATCAGTCAGTTCCCATAGTTTGAATGTAAACAAATCAATCCCTAATTGTTAGAAATAGTAAAAAAATGTATCCTATACATAAAAACCATCAATTGCTAACAAATATAGTGCAGTTAAAGGCACATAGGCTCTGTTTTAAAAAATTATCTGAAGGTCTATAGCTAGTAACTCATAAGTTAGTTGAAAACTTATAATTTGTAGTTGAAAACTTAGTTAAATGACTAAAAAGAAAGAGTTACGGTTATTTTGTGTCAAAGGAAATTGCTTAAAAGCTTAAGGATAAAAATGAAAGAAAATATTAATAGCCAGCTTATTGAAAGAAAAAAAGCCTATAAGTTGTTAAATAAGTTATAAGCTTGTGTTATCAAATAAGACTCATAACCAGTTACCGAGATTCTGACCTTCCACTATGAAATAGGTCATGTGATGTGCATGTTATGTCACAATCTCTCGGCTTAATGGTTAACATAGAAAAGGGTTCATTTTGCACCATTTGTAAACATTAGGAACCGATTCCCACATATTCACTCCAGAATCAGTTAATTTCATTCCATCCAATTTCGCGAACCCAACATAGCAAAGTAAAATTCAAAACAAAACTGGAAACACCCCACCTTGTTCAACCACAACATCTGCCACAGAATGCAACAAAACATGCTTCTCTTTCTTCAACACTCCAAAACACGGAAACGGTACCGGCCTCGTAGCCTGAGCTAGTTAAACACATGTAACATGTAAATAATAATTCGATTTTCGTATAGTAAGTTATTATTAAAAGTTACAAGATATTACGGATCATATCTTATGCAATGATAGCACTAAATATCATATTTCATTATTAATATAATTAAAGAAAAAAAAGGAAAAATAGGAACATAAATTGCCTTGTATACAATGGCATTTGGAGTGAGATAGAGGGTTCTAGAAAGGATATCCTTTCTAAGAATAAACCTCCTAACTGGGAGATAAAGCAACATGAGAAGCCCAATGCCCCAAGCCAATATCAGCAAAACGGAGTAAAGTACCCACTGCAGCGTCTGGTACTTGACGAAATTGCCTTCCATCTCACGAAACGACGCCGCATAGAGCACCTCTTCTTCATCTCTTCCATTCTCCTCCAACAAACTCTTCTCCAAACTCTCGATTTCGACAACCTCGTCCGAAGTTCCCATGTTCACCACCGTTCAACACTTGCCAGCCTGGCATATATTAGTTCAAATTAATGGGCCTCAGTGAGTTTGTTGGGCCAGCAAAATACATGGCCCAGTGTAAAATTTGATAAACCCTTGACCTTGGGTTAGAAGAGAGAAAGGACGAACAAAAGAATGGGGGCGAAGAAGGGTAGCAACAGTGAAAGTGAAGGAGCAAACAATGTTTTTGCGTCTTGCTCCTTCTCCAGCCTTGGCCTTCATCCCACTTTATGTGACCAACTTCGTGGTAAATTTATTTGTATTTATTATTTATTTTTGGTTGGTCGATTGAGTGTGTGTAACTTTTTTTTTTCTCACAGAAAGGATGGGGTTTGAAGTTCCAACGTTGGTGCAAGCTCAAGCTATTCCTGTTATTCTCTCCGGGCGTCATGCGTATCCTTTATTATTATTATTTGTGCTTAATGCTATAACTCTGTTATTAGTATTAGTATTATTGGGTTCTTTAATGAGAAATTATAGACTGGTAAATGCTGCAACGGGCACTGGGAAAACTGTTGCGTACCTGGCTCCGATTGTTAATCAGTTGCAGAATTTTGATAATAGAATCCAGCGCACTGATGGAACGTTTGGTGTGTTTTCTTTTTAACACTATTTAGTTCCTTTCTGTAATCTGTACGTTCAGCTTCTCATTACTTATCTTATTTGAGAATGATCATTTTTATATGCTACTTGCACTCCATTGTTATGTTACTTTTCATGTAATGATAACTGATACGATAATGAAATGATATTTTCAATAAACAATAGGATTAAATGAAGTATATTCATATTTTACACTTACTTCATTGTATGTTAAGTAGCTTGCATTCATTTGCCATATGTGAAGTTTGGATTTTAATGGCCAACAAACTCTAATGCCGTGTTTGAATTGCTGAAAGATGATGGAGTGGAATGGGAATATAATAGAATAAATATTACGTTCTATTGTTTGCATATGTTACGACAAAATGGAAGAAAACTTTCATTTCATTGTTTGGATAACAAACGGGGCGGAATGAATTATAATATTTTTATTCTTATATTACCATATGATATAAACTAGTGAAAAAGTGAGATTAAACTTTATGAATATGGGTTAAAGACATGTTGATAATTTAATAATTATAAATATAAAATCAATTAGGATTCCATCACATACCCTCCAAATTGGGGTGAACAAAAGTGAGGACTTTTAATGGAAAGGGATGAAATTCATCCCATTAAATACCACTCCATCCATTAATATTTGATTCTATTGATACCACTTCATTCCATTAAATACCCTCATACTGGAGCCCTTTGACCTTGAAGCATTCGCAATGTACATATCCACCCTACGTTTGTTGCTCAACTTTTTTTTAGAAGAATAAAGATGGCAAGGATTGAAGTCCCGCTCACTTGTTAAGTTACAAGTTACAACTTTCTCATAAGTTTAGACTGTTAGGTGATGACACATTAATTATTTTCGATAATATTGAATCTAAAGAGCAGTCATGATGCATGCCAAACTGTATTCAATGAAATATTGTCTACCATATCAATTTCACTGCTGTACAGTGTCAAAACATTATTTTCTTTCTTTTCATAAAAAGCATTTCTCTTACTAATCATAAATTTAATTGATTTATCGGCAATAGCGTTGGTTCTTGTACCGACGCGGGAGCTATGCTTGCAGGTTTATGAAATTCTTCAGAAGTTATTGCACCGGTTTCACTGGATTGTTCCAGGATACATTATGGGTGGTGAAAATAGATCAAAGGAAAAATCCAGGCTGCGCAAAGGTAAAAATCTTGTATATTCATCATCCATACTTCTTTTATGACTTCACCTTTGAAGTTTGTTCTTTACTAGCTGTTAACAACAAAATGATGGAAATGAATTTATGGAAGAAAAGAGATTTCCTCAGTATTTTTGGATGTGAAAAAGAAAATTTTTCTATCACAGAAAAGCTATGTCATGATGACAAACAGTTTTTGAGTTTTGCACTTGTCCTTTCTCTTGTCTGAAGGTCAAAGTAGGGCTTCTTCGGTTGATTGAATTTATAACATTTGTGGTTCCTATTTTAGGCATATCAATTCTTATAGCAACTCCTGGGCGACTTTTAGATCACTTGAAGAACACATCATCTTTCTTGCACACAAATTTGCGCTGGATAATTTTTGATGAAGCCGATAGGTATGGCTTACACCTTTTGCTGCAATGGAAATTGCCATGTTTGGCATAGTAGTAAATGTGGTACTGATTTCTCAATGTAGTGTTTTCTTTGAAATATATTTTCTTATTAATGAATTAGCATGACGTATGTTTTTTGCAGGATTTTGGAATTAGGGTTTGGTAAAGATATACAGGAAATACTAGATCTTTTAGGTTCAAGGAAAACTGGGCATGATGACCAAGAGAAAGTTCCAAGGCAGTCTAAAATTCAAAGACAGAATTTGCTATTGTCTGCCACTTTAAATGAGAAAGTGAACCACCTTGCGAAAATTAGTCTAGACAATCCAGTGATGATTGGTCTTGATGGTAAAAAAGTGGAACCAATGTCAACAATTGAAAGCCTTGATCATTCAGAATCTGATGAAGACAGTGAAGAGAAGTATTCTAGTAAAATGCCAACAGTTGCAGATTATAAAGTGCCCACACAGTTGATTCAGAGATACATGAAAGGTAGGTGATAATTAGAAATTTCTTCAATGAGCTTACTAATTTGACGGTGTTTTAAGTTAAGATCCTGAATTCCTAGTTGAATTGCTATGCAGTGCCTTGTGGTTCACGGCTTCCTGTACTTCTTTCAATTCTAAAGCATCTATTTGAAAGGGAACCTTCACAAAAGGTATGGCTTCACTCAATATATAGCCCCTTTTCTTGCCTATATTCCTTGAATATATTTCTTCGCCAGTCTGGAATTAGTATATTTTGCACTGTACACATTCCTGTCGTCATTGTTTTCAATGGTTAAATTGTTGCCTTGTCAATTGGTGTATAATGGTATCACCAATGAATGATGTGATATTTCTGATTTAATTTTGTCAAAAATGTGTAGGTAAGAGGGTAAGGACAAAAATGTTTCGTCATATTATGCTTTATAAGTGACATCTTTCATCTCATCTCATGATTCTACAGGTTGTGGTATTCTTTTCAACATGTGATGCAGTAGATTTTCACTATTCATTGTTAAGTGAATTCCAATTCTCTTCTGATCCACAAACAGAAAAAGGGATCAGACAGATGTTTCTTGGATGTAAGACTTTTCGGTTACATGGTAATATGGAACAGGAGGACAGGAGAACCAGTTTTCAGGCCTTTAAAACTGAGAAATCTGCCTTGCTTTTCTCCACTGATGTTTCTGCTAGAGGATTGGATTTTCCAAAGGTTAGATGTATCATACAATATGATTCTCCTGGGGAAGCTACTGAATATGTCCATAGGTATCTACCCGTTTGCTTGTTTGGCTGGTTTTTGTCGTTTTTTTTTTATTTGTGGCTTGAGAGGGGGGGGGGGGGGGCTGGGAGAGGATAGGGGAATTGTTTATTTCATAAATGCATGGACCAATTTATACAGTCTGTATGACCTATAATTTTTTTTTGAGAAAACTGGGTCCGTCAATTGCATTTAACAAGTATGAGCAATAATAGGCAGCCTGTTCCTATGAAGCTCCCACCATAGCAGGGTCTAGAGAAAGGTCAGACACATTAATTATGAGCAATGTCTTTGAAAGGAGTATTGACACATGGATACATTAAAATTTTCCTTAAATAATAGATAAAGGTTTAAACATTCAAATATAATTTAACCTCAAAATTATGCATCAAAGTAAATAATTTAATAGAAGTTTCAGCTGGGCAAATCAGTCTTGTCTATAATGGCTTGGAGATCAACATGATAAAATGTGATCTGAATACAAAGTTGAATTGTATCAAGATTTAATCTCAAAATATAAATTTAGAACCTTTTCCATCATTAACCTCATGTTTCCCTTGAGGTCATTCTTATATCTTTTAGTTCATAATATTTCTTTAGGATGTGTGTGAGAGATTTAATACCTCAGCCTCTTAAGCATTAGAAGCAATAGCAATCTTATCTTCCTTTCCTTAAGCACTAAAAAATTAGTATCATGGAATAATCCTCATATCATAATTATCAGTGTTAAATGTTTCTAAGAAAAATAGCCTAGAAAGGTTCGACTGTAAAAATGAAAATGTAAAAATGCTGCTTGTAATGCTTTTAAGTTTTAAGCAATATTTTGCTTGTTTTTATGCGACAAAGATTTGTAATAAAATTTGAAGCTTCTTTTTTTTTATTACTATTTTAGAAGCTTAAAGGTACTATTTTTACAAGTCTAAGCTTGGTTTTAACCATGAGTAAGTGACGCTTGCTTCACTCGATATCTTACCTAGTAGAACTATAATATTACTATTTTTTATTATTATTATTTTTACTAGACATCTTCTGGGTTCATTTTTTAGAATTATAATATTCTAATATAACTTAAAATACTATCTTATTTCTGATTTATCATGAATTCATGATGCAGAGTTGGTAGAACTGCTAGGCTGGGTGAAAGAGGAGAGTCATTGTTATTTCTGCAACCAGTTGAAATAGACTATTTACAGGACTTGGAGAAACATGGTGTCTCACTCACAGAGTATCCTCTCCTCAAAACATTGGATTATTTTCCACTGTATGGACACAACAACATAAAGAAGCCTGTTTTCATAGATTCACATCCCTGGATTCTTTCTCTCCAGAAGGCACTTGAAGCCTTCATCATATCCAAGGTGATTAGTGTGTGTGTGTTCTGTCTGATTGAATAATTTTTAAGAAAACTCATAGTAGCTTTTAATCCTCTTTTGACTGGGAAAACACATCATCGAAGTTTAACTACAGAATCATTATCACTGGATTCTTAGAATTTGTAACTTTTGAAAACAATGAAACCTTTCACATTGGTTTTGTGCATCTACTAAGCAATAGGACTTGCAAACCATCAATAAACAAAATGATGGATAGATTTGCCTTTGTCCTTTTTGCCATGTGTTTCTGTATGTGCACAGGGAAGGGAAGGTTGGAGAAATGAAGTGTGGAAAGAAAGGGAACTTTCTTATCCTATCCTTGTTTGGGGTTGAAGTTAAAGTAGAGTGAATTAGGGTTTACATCTTTTAATTTAAAATGACCATAATTCAAGGGAGGGGAAGGAGTTGAGGCTTTGAGGGTAATGCCTCCCCACTTTTCTCTTTAGAATCTTCCAATCAAGGTTAGAGTCTTTTTTTTTCCCTGTAGTTCCCTGTCCCAGTCCACCACTATGCTGAGCCAATGAGAAGATGATGGAAATTTACCCAAGGTGATTTGGTTAAATAGAGGCTCAAGCAAGAAATTGGGTCAAGTGAAAGATAATCCAATGAAACGTAGAGTAGAAGACCCCATAAAACTTAAGAACTACCATAAAAAAAATGAATGGATTCTCTAAATTTTTGTTTTGATAAATCTCAATGGCTTCAATTGATCCCTGTAGCCAACTGCAACTGGTGAGTTAAGACTTGGTTATTATTGTGCATAAAACTGATAACAGGATTTATGATCAGTTTTAATTGGAGGGAATTAACAGCATAATTTGGAGAAACTTGTTTAGATTGATTATTTGAGTTTAATTACGTGCCTACTTGTTCCTGCCATATCTCCCAGTTCTTTTATTTCTCCATAGTGCATAGTTAATTATGCCATTGATCCTTTGCAAAAGAATGGGCAATTAGCCAAAAAGCTAGTTTCTCAATTTGCATTGGCCAAAGTTTTCAAGACTTGGGAGTGGTGATGATGTTGGAGGTTCAATCCTTCATCAGTCTTCTCATTTCCCTTTCCTACCCAGTTACACCTCCAATGTATTGAAGAGGAAAATTAGACATAAGTTTGTTATGCTATTAAATTAAAGCTTATGAATAGTTTAATATTGAAATGTGTAAAGGAATGATGCTTCTGTAGTGTGCAATAATCCTTATCCTTATACCAGTTAAGCGCGCACACACCATCAAGGAATATGAAGAGCAATCTGCTTCTGCTTTTATGTCCCCCTGCCTCTTTAATTTTGGTTCCTGGTATATTCCTTAAGATTTCGCTAAACATGATGTCTTTCTTGTTGCTTCTGTGTATTCCTAAACCAATTGTTGCCTTATTCTTTTCAGCCCAAGATGGATGAACTTGCCAAGAAGGCATTTTGCTCTTGGGTCCGTGCTTACACAGCCCATCGTGGTGAGCTGAAAAGAATATTTATGATCAAGAAACTTCACTTGGGGCATGTAGCAAAAAGCTTCGCATTGAAACAACAACCCTCCTTAGTTGGAAAGTCGTTGCAAAAGCAAACTAAGAAGAGAAAGAGATTTGAGAAGAAAAAAGGGTTGTCCAAAAGGAGAAAAATTGCGAGTGTGACGTAATGCAACAGACCATGAAAATGGCTGATGTTACAATTTTGCTGAAACAAAACGATTGTGACAAATGGTGACTAGTATGGATCCAGTGAGACCAGAATCCAGAAGATTACAGTATCAACAATGCGGTCACTAACCGTTGTTTGGTTCTAAGGAAAATGAAGTGAAGGAAACAAATTTGAATTTTGAATTGATGGAAAAATGAGAGGAAAGAAAATTTGAATTTTGTTTTTGGAGGTGAACTTTCCTCTATTCCTTCTCTTCATTATCTCTTCAACCAAATATAAAAAATATATCATTATCTGTTATTCTTGTTCCTCTCAAAGCAAAGCATAAACGACCTGAGATGAGGCAACACCATGTTGCGACAAGGCCTTGCTTCGCCGTTCATTTCTGTAGCCAAATTTCTAACCGGCACATTAAGCCAGATGCTTCATGCTAACATGTATACTGTTAGTTAATATTTTATAGTGTGATATTTATATAAAGTATAATTTTTTTTATGGTGGTGGTGGTAGGGTCAGGGGTTCACATTCACAAGGACATTCTCTTTTGACTGTAAAATTCCAGTTCAAAACTTTAGCCTAGCTTTGGCTACAATGTATTTAATAGCTTCTATGGAAAGTCAACTTATTAGCTAAGTCAGTGGTTAGAGTTATAGGATTATTGCATCAAATGGTATCAGACCGGCTTTCCAATACATTCTCAAGAATGACGCCAACATGATCATTTGGGCCACAAGACAGGTATGCGAAAATGTGACTGAATTTTCATTCAGTTGTTATTTGGTCAATATTTCCTAGTTGGATTCCTCATGTCACTTGGGTTGTTATTTTGGTTCGCTAAGTTATTTTGACATTGAAATGGAAAATGATGAAGCACTATGATCATGAATGGGATTTATTGAATAAGAAGGGTTAAAATCATTAACTTAGTTACGGCTCTTGGCGGTTTGGGGTTTACTTCTGATTTTATCGTTACAATTTAGAACAAATCCCTACTATCTTTAGGAGGTATTGTCATCAGTGAACTCGCGAAAGCAACAATAAAACAACGCTCAATCGATTGCAGACTGTTATAACTGGTCAGAACTGTTGCAATTTAGTGTGTTTAAAAGCAAGTAAATATGAATTCAATACGAGGGATATACTTGATAATTAAAAGTTGACATGAATTCATATGCAGTTGACGAATGCATTTGACCACGAAATAAAAAACCTGGACAACAAATATGAAGGGCATATTCTTTTTTTTTTTTTAAGAGCATGTTTGTTTTCATTATTAGAAAGAGTTTTTTTTAAATAAAAAAATTTCAATTTTACATTTTCTTTTAATTAATTCTTAAACTTTACATATTTTTTGAAGAAGACATCCTAGCCCTTTGTTAATTTTATTTAATCATTTATTAGTTTATTTTTATCATTCACTTTCTCAAACATTAAAATATAATAATATTTATTTTTTAAAATCAAATTTTCATTATGCTTGAAAGTAAAATAATAAATGGCTTAGGTTTAACTTAAATAAAAGTTAGGGTGTGCTTTTCATTAATAATTTAACCTTAATTTAATATTTGCAAAAGGAGTGAAGTTCTGAAATTAAATTTTAGAGTATCTATATATAAAAAAAAAATGCTTAAAAAAAATTAACATTCTTTTTCCAAAATTGAAAATAGCATTTTGACTTTTGCATTAACTTCTATCTTTTTAAGTTACTTACACACTTTGTCTTGAGTGGACTTTTTAGAGCAACTTTAATTCTACTGCTTTTGTTAATTGTTTCGTATTGATCCATGCTTTGCAAAGAAATAATTATATTTACCAGTAATTGTCTTAAAATGTATTTCTCTCTTTTGTTATGCCGTAATTACCCAAACCTGGGGCACTCCCCTTAAGGTACCTGCAGCAAAACCCACAACATTGACAGTTCCTACCACCATTTCGTCCTCCTTGGGTGGGTTAATAAGGTCTTTCCAAGAATTAGTTTTCAGCCGCTACACCCCACATTGAAGGTATACATATTCTAGCATATTCTATTTACTTCAATCAAATATAATAAAAATATTTGAATAAATTTAAAAATTTATTTAACCCTTTAATATTAAAAATTATATTAAATTCCAACTAGTCTAAATTGGGGGATTTGTATTTTTTTTTGTTTTTTAAAAAATAATTTCTTAAAATAATATTCTTTGAAAACATATTTCTTGTCTATGACTTTTTTTGTCACGTCAATACCTGTATAGATAAAATTAATTTTTTTAATTAAATTTCATATTTAGTGAAAACAAATTTATACGATTGTATCACGTGTTATCATTTGATAAATTTTATTTGTTATATAGATGAAACTCACAGAATTGCGTCATATATTATACTAATTTAATGATAAAAATTTAATTCAGAGGAGTAAAAATAAATATATCCGAAAAACACACCTACTGTTAATTAATAATAGTCATTTTCACATTTAATATAATTAAAGTAATTTATTTGTTCAAAAGCAATTAATGTTTTTTATCTATTTTTTATATGCACCAGAATGCTTTGTTCAACGTGACACTTATTTAAACGTGAAAATACATCAAATAAAGCTAAATGGGTGCATATGAAAAATGGGTAAAAAGTATTAATTATTTTTTAACAAATAAATTATTTTAATAGTATTAAATGTGAAAATATCTATTATTAATTAACAGTAGATATTTTTTTTGGATGCACTCATTCTTTCTTTTCTAAAGTAAGTTTTTACTGTTGGATTAACATGACACATAGTGCAATCCTTTAATTTTCGTCTATGTACCATATGAAATTTATTCGATAATGACACGTGACATAATTGTATAATTTTGTCTGAATATAAAATTAACTAAAAAAAATTAATTTCATCTATACAGTAGATGAAACAGGTGCTGACATAGCAAAAAGTCTCAACCAGGGAATATATTTTAAAAGAATATTATTTTACGAAATTGTTTTTTAAAAAACATAAAAAAGCCCTAAATTGGGTAGGATGAAATAAATTTAAATATATATATTATAAACCGAATATTAATTATATAATGCAAAATATATTTATTAACGTATGCATATTATGTCGATATGACTATTGCTGAACTTGGATGAAGTCATATTGCTTAATTATGAATATATATATCAGTATGCTATTTATTATTTCGTTTATTATGTAAAATTTTAAAACATGTTTATTTATTTTTTTATCATTGATTGGGCATGGTTGGACTGTTAAATTGTAAAAAATTTCCTCAATAATTTGATATCTAGTTCGTTTCAAAAAGATATCAGTGTAAAGTGTCATAAATTTACTCTTTCTTTATCAGATCAAGAGAAATTAGTGTAATGAGGTCCTACTTTAGAATTAATTTGATGACGTTTTGCATGATTAAGAGATAAAATTGGTAATATATATATATATATATATATATATATATATTAAAATACTCTTTTGTGAACCTATATATTTAATGGATTCAATTCATGCAAAAAGTAATAAATCAAAATGATAATATTTTATATCATTAGTAAATAACTGCAATAATGACGTATTTTTCAAGAAAGGAATTATGCTTATAGCTTGAAATAATGAAAAAAAAATGTTTACTCTATATTTTAGAATAATGGAACCTGTAGTTTTAAAGAATTTTCCTAACTAATTACCACAACTCGGTGCATTTGGCTTGGTTTTCACTGCTGCCATACAACCAGTCTTGGTTGCTTGCAGGACTGAGACTTGGGATATATATCTCTGTACAGAACGTAAAACTGCATTTCATACTCACACAAAAAAATAAAATAAAATTCATTTTAGTCATTTAAATTATAAGTTTGGGATTTTGTTTTTAGACATAATCCAAAAAATTTCATGCTAATAACGATCTATCATACTTATATATGCTCTTGATTCTTCCTAATTTTAATTAATGTAGTATTTTATTCTCACATCTCAACACAATGTGGTAAGGCACAGTTGGATAATTTGCATGAGATAGTAGTAGGTTAATTTAGACCTCATTGTGACCTTTGTATGTAAGAAAAAATAAATATGCCTTAGACTCAAAAAGGATTTTTTGGCCTTACCTTGTTTGCATTTATTTCCTTAATTGTAACAACAGTTGCTAATGCCGTGTTTGTTGTTTCTTGGACAGCCGTGCAAGGAAACGAGGTGGGTGAAGGTCTACCATTTCTTCAAGCCTACGGAAGAAGGACTATAACTAGAAGCATAGGGTTGTGAATCTAAGCAACCATGTTGCTGAGGCTGTCGTTTAAAAGTTAATCTAAGAATAATCTTCAGCCTTATATTGCAGACATTGTGGTACTCCTTCAGCTCCACCGAATTCATTGTTTCTCCATGCACATGGTTTTGTAGGGTCAATAATTCAACATTTTCATGTGACTATCATACAACGTTTGGATTCTTCAAAATTAACCCGTTGCCTTTTCTGGTTTGAAACAAACTTCACGTTCACATTTGTTAAAAATATTACCAGCAAATTGGGTGTAGCCATTAAATACTGCATATTCGGATGTTGAAACAGGATCGATGTATTAAACATTAATCGATGATCACGTAACCATTCTTGATATTTTAATTTTAACTCTTTATAAGTATATTTAATGGTTGTCTATCTCACTTTAACCATTTTAATATGTATACTCTCTCTATATAGAGAGTGAGCAATTTGAAAGATGCTTGTTGTCGTTAAACATGAAAATAGTTACACATTTGAACCTCCTGAGTTTATGGAAGGATAAGAAATTCATTAAGCAAAACAAGAAGATTTAGGTACAGAATTTACACTTCAAAATTGTTTTTAAAATGGACTTAAAGAAAAAACACCTAATTTCAAATTTTGTTGTCTTTTTATTTTTCACACCATTTAGTTTGTAAACAAGCTAAATGATAAGAGATATTGATAGCGTACACTCGTATTATATTAACAAGTTATAACTTAGTTTGTAATTTTTTTAAAATATAAAATACTAACGTACTTTTTAAATAAATAAATAAGTGAATATTGAAACTTATAATTACTAACATACTCCCTCATGTTTTGAATTATTACTTTCATTTTTTTTTAATATACTCAAAGATATAACTTATTAAAATACTTTATAAAAAAATAAAACAATTAAATATTATTTAACCCATGCATACACAACATGAATCCACCGTTGTGTAGTTCCAAACATTTGGGGTAAATTGACGGATCCCAATCTCTGTAGGCTAGAGCACTTTTTCTTTTTGTCATGATTCAATAAATGCAGAAATGGTTTCAATTCAATAAATACAATCTCGAAGTTGTAGGCCCATTATCACGGCCATCACGGCCCACATTAGGTCCTCTCTGTCGGAGGAGATCCCTTTTCCTGAATTTTAACTAACTTTTCGTTCACAAAAAAAAAAAATAGAAAAAAACCTTTACTTTTTGAATGGCAACGTTGCCTTAATCTCATACTTGACTCTTGACTAATTCTTTTGGAAGCAGAGATGCCACTTAACTTTGTTTTTGTTTCTTAAAAGTCAAAAAGTATTAAAACTTTAATCTTGATTATGATTGAACAGTAAGGATATGTTTACATAAATAATGTAATTGAGTAGTTAATTAATCAACTCTTATTACATGAAGTTTCATGAACATAAATTTAATCATAAAATTTATTATAATAATGTAAAAATTGCTTAGTTTATTCATTTATATTGAAATTTGGCTAAAATAATGTAAAAAAAATATTGTAAAAGACATAAGTTATTTTTATCATAGCTTCTCATAAACTCTTTGAAATGCCCTTGAATGTTACATCATCAAATAATATTCTCAACATCATATCAAGTGGGAAGTTGACATGCACGAGTAATGATTATTCATTTCCACTGAAATAAA